ATAGCATTTTCCACCAGACCATTACCTGCCGAATCGTAGATCTTCGTCGTCCTCATAGTTGTCTTCAGACCAATTGCTGATCTGGCGGTCACCAGGAGTTTGAGTATCTGGCGCAAGGTCGGTTCATTGTCGCTGTAATACTGCACTTCCTCATGCCCCAGAATCTGGGTGAAGGCGAGCAGCTCGTGTGTGATGAGGCTCATCTGATTCTTCGACTTCACCGGCAGGGCTAGCAAGTACCCTGTTTGCGAGCATACCGCTACCATCAGCAATGCCCCACGTTCGACCTCCAGCCCAGCTTGGGCGCCGTCCTCTTCTTCTCCGCCGACAGCTCCGGATCCTGAGGCCTTCACGTAGCAGAAGTCGAACGATATGGTTGGGCATCCTTGCTCATGGGCTTTGCCAGTTCTCCGGTGTTGGTCCTGGCGGGCTCGGTGTTTCAAACATGCCGTACACCAAGCTTCGTACGGAAGATGAGTGAGCTCGTGTTGCTTCTTCTCCTCCATGGTAGGCTCTCTTGCCGACACCTGTTCCAAGGGGATCCTCTTGTCCATCGCTCTGCCCTGAGCTGCCAGGTCCCGGGCCATGAGAAGTTCCAGTTGATGCTGGTGGGACATCAGCCTGTTGAAGCATTTCTGTTTGCCCCCACTCTGTCCAATCCGGTAGAAGGCACATGCGGCCCGAAGACTGCGAAGCGGGCTGTCCAAAGTCAGTACCACTCCATTCACCTGAAGCTGTGATGGTACTGCAACACCAACCTCCAGCCAGGCCTCCTGATCCTCCAGGCCAACTCCTTCTTGACCTTCTTCCCCATGGATGTCCATGCCTTCTACCTCCTCATTCAAAGCCTCCGGTACTGCCAACTCCTCAAGGCTCCCAGGATCTGCCCGAAAGTGGAAGCCATCCATCACCTCGAATCCAAAAGTCTCAGGCTCGGTTCCACCCTGGGCAATGAAGGTGATAACTCTTCCCAACTCCTCTTTCTTGAGCTCCTCAATGGGTTCTTCTTGTTCCCACAAGCCGTCTAGTGGCTCTGCCATCTCCACCAGCTCCCATTGTCCACGGCGCTCCACCAAAGTTGACCTGCAGAAGCCTTCACTTTGGTTCCTGAACTCCGGCACGAACTGCGGGGTTTGGTAATGGCGACTTGAGTGCAATCCAAGCCAGAAGTGGCCTTTCTTCTTCCATCCATACTGCCCCAGCGCCGCCTCTTGTAGCTCTTGACTCAACTTCACCCTCAGTGTGCGAATCATGCCAGGCTCGTGGATCACTCTGACCTGGGCTCGAACCACAAGGCTTTGATTCTGAAACACCAAAGGGACCTCAATCTCATCGTGCTTGAGGCATAGGGTACCACCATCAATAGACCATCCGGTCCTCAACAGGCGTCCGTAGGAGAGAATCGGTTGGCTCACCACATCCGAGAACGTCACCCTTTCCTTGATGATCACTTCTCTCCCATCCTTGGCATGCATCACTATGTCCACATCACTGTGGCCATAGGTCTTGATCTTTGTGCCCTGTGCATCCTGGAGATACGGGCATGCTCCAGTCGTGGGGATGCCCTTGTCCATCAAACTTCCTGGGAACAACGAGGCATCGGCTCCTGAATCCAGGATCACATTGATCATCTCCTCCTCTTCTTCAAGCCCCTGGCTTTCCACCTCCATGTCGTCATACTGGTGGATCGTGTTGATGACATACGGCGGACCATCCTCCTCTTCTGCCTCGTCATCAGTGGCGATGCTGTAGTACTCCACCGACGACTTGGGGCTTTCCTGGATCATCCTGATCGAGCCAGTCAGCGATGTCTTTCTCAGATCAAAAACTGCTGGCTGTGAAACACGGCGAATTGCCTTTGATGATGAAACATCTCCACCACTCGTAGTGCTTGTCGTTGTTGTGGATGGAGTAGACCCCTGCTGGCTGGTGGCGCTCAAAATCTGAGTCGTTGGAGCCTCCACCTGACGCACTCGCCAGCAGTCCTTCGAGATGTGGCCGGGCTTGCCACACGTCCAACACACCTCCGAGGTGCCTCTGCCCTTTCCTCCCTTCTCTTTGCCCCCCTTTCCTTTTCCATTCTTGCCTCCATTCTCTGACTTCCCTTTGCCCTTGTCCTTGCCCTTCGGATCCTTGCCCTTGGACTTGCCTTTGTCCTTTCCCTTCTGCTGAAGTCGGTCCACTTCCATTGGCGTGGGACCCTGATCAGTTCCCGAAGGCATAGGGCTCGTGAATGACAATGCTGCTGACTCATTCCACTTCGTAGTTGCATTGTCGAAGGCAATGATTGCCTCTCGAATTTGTGAATACGTGGGTCCTTCATTGAGGGCAAGATTCAAATGGACTTTCATCTGACCTCCAACCGAGCGCAACAAGATCGCGGCCTTCATGTCCTGACTGAGCTTGCCTCCAAACTTCTCATACTGGACGTAGTGCTCTTCCAACTTCAAGATCTGAGGCAGCAAGGAGGTCCGCATGTTGAAGCTCGGGTAGGCCATTATGCCTTGGAGTAGGCTCATGGTTCTGTTCCTGGCGTTCGGCTGGCAGTTGCTCAGGAGTTGACGAAGAGCTTCATAGCCATTGAAATGATCCACATTTCGAATCAGGCCCATCAGCCTGCCCTGCACCAAGCCACCCAGGAGGCTGTATAGGAAGCGTCCCCGCTGTTGCTCGGCCTCAGACAGCAAATCCCAGTCCACTTCAGCTGTGAGGTTTTCTTCAATCTTCTCAACCTCTTCCTGATAGGCTCCATCAACCACAAGGAGGTATTGTTTGAATCCCCAATACCAGTCTCTCCACTGAACCACCTCCTGTTCTCGGTCGAGGGGACTGAAACTGCTTGGTCTAGGGATGAGCTTGGCCAAATCGCGTTTCAAGCTTCCTGAAGACGAACCTTCTCCTCCTCCATTGGCCTGAGCCACATTCACACTGGCGGCTGCCTGTGCGGCTTGGGTAGCCGATTGTGCTGCCTGGATCAACGCCTGGGTCTACTCCGCTGCTGCTCCTCCAGTCAAACCAGGATCAGAGCCATCCATTTGTCACCCTTCTCCTCACCAAGAGCGTCCTCAGTGCAGATGAGATAGGGCCGTCAGGTGATTCTCAATCAACCTGTTATACTCCGGGATGTAGGCAGGGATGTAATGCACGGTGCTTCGATCACCAGGTCCAAATAACCACTAGCAGTGATGGCGAGCAAACTGCAACACCAGTTCTATGAAAAGGCTCGGGCGCAGATCAAGACAGGGGCTTCGAGAAGGGATCTGGGTCCTGTCCCTACCGCTCTGGAGCTCACGGGAGATGTCAGTCAAATCCCGATCCCGGCTCCGCTACCATGTGAGCGGTTCTTTGATCTCGAAAGGGGTCTGCGGTTCAGGTCAAGTGGTTCTTATTTGCCAATATATAACTTTGATGTTCAATGATGCAGTTTCCTTCGGCGAATGTAAGCATCCTGCAACCTGAACGCCGCCAGTCTCAGGACCATCAACTGCCCAAGGCGTGCAAGGGGGATGTCAGCAGCCCCTTCTTCAGCAAATCAACCGCTTCTTGAGCAAATTTCGAAGGAGAAAATGCACGGCCATCCAGGTTCAATACGGCCCTGACGCCAACGTCCAGCGCAGAAAGCGAAAGCGAAAAGCAGGGTTCCAGGCAGCTCCACGCGTGGAGTGGAAATATCAGAGGTGACAAATCCTAGCCTCATGGCACCACAACTTCATACGTCTGCAGCGTGCAGGTCCGCATAGCGCAGTTTCCGCATGGATATTTTGCAGGTCTTGTTTCTAGGTTGCATGGCAGGCGTGTGGGAAGTCCAGTTGATTAATTCAATCACATCTCCAAAGCCCCTCACACTTGAGACCACCGATTCATTTCAGAATCCAACGCGGCCTTGTCAAGCAATTTATTGAAAAAAATATTATCTAACATGTTTATTATTTTTGTTTGGCTGAGTTCAATACTCTGTTGATTTCTTTTTGGACTTAGTCTCCCGAAGCCTTTCCAACCAACGCCTGTAAACTCCGTTGCTTCATTCTTCAGCCTGGAAGACGACTCTCCACAAACAGGGCTCTTCGCTACACCTCCACATTCAAACATGCGCTGGCAACAGGTGCGCCACTTCTGACCTGTTGCTTCCATTTGTGTGTGAACGTGTTCTCTCCCCGTTTGATACACCCACGAAGCTCACGAGCGAATTCTGAGCTACCCCACACCCAAGAATGACAAGAGCTCAGCACCACTCCTGGCACGGCACAGCACATTCTTAACCTCACCATGTTTTGTCCCTCATGATGTCATGCTCTCATGTCCCCCCACAAAGCCGCCCCCAACGTGGCGACGTCGCCCCGTCCCCATTGCGAAAGGTTGCTGCGACCCACGAGACGGGTCAGCTGAGCAGCAGTTTGTTCAGGTGGTCGCTAGGAGGGGTCTAGTGATAGACAGCCCTCGTCAAGTTGCAATATATTATGTCATACAGATCATCTATATACGTTTAGCTATTGAACGTCGAACATAACAACATCTGTTCAGAATCAGAAAAACTGTACATGCTGCAAACAGGACCAATTGCCACTGGTTGATCAAGGCCAGCTTAACCTGGGGGTCGACCAATCAACCGACTGAATGATGCAAGGTTCACATTCAGCAGCATGCCCAAGCTCGGGGAAGTGGCACTGGGTTTTGCCATTGTTTTGCCGCCAAGAACATCCACCCAGCTTGGAGGTGGGGCGACGACGCGCTGAGCGAGCTCGCCCTGCGCCGCGCTGCCCCGCTGCGTCGAGACCAGAGACCGCCAGCCCTTCCTGGCGGTGCCTTCTCCATGTAGGTGACTTGGTCATGGGAGACCGCCCTTCCCCAGGTTCGCGGTTGCCGGTCTGGACTTGACATTCCAATCAAAGGACCATCGAAAGGAACACTCCCGCAAACGAAAATGTCGCCTCAAACGATTGTCAAAAGACCACCGGGTAGGTCAGCCAATGTGCCTCAGCTATGCAGCTATCCATAGCTATCCCAGCCACCACTTTCCCTCACACGATGGGTCCAGGCGCTCATCTATTTTTATCGCCACGAGTCAGAAAGGGGCCGGTAGGGCCCCCCTGCTGATCAGGCGTGAAGAAAGGAAAACTGCGCGAAGTTGCATCACCAAGGCTCTGGGTCGGTCGAGCCTAGTTGAAGCATGGTGAATTAGGGAGGGACAAATCAGGAGCTGATGTGTCTCACATCAACGCCTGCTCATAGGGAACCCGCTCAGCTTGTGAGTCGTCTTCCTCAATGCTCACGCTGCCTGGGATGCGACCCTGGTCGGATGTGACTTGGAATCCCCCTTCTGGACAAGTTCGAACCAGGTGACCTCGAACCCCGATGGAATCATCTTCAGGATGATCGACACTTGTTGGTTCCACAGCATGATTTCTGCTTTAAACCGGGCAAAAAAATACCACCGGTGTTCTGGATCGTTCCGATGAACCACCCGAAACGTGATGTCCAGGCTCCTGTCATGATGTCCATCCCGAAACGTGGCTATTTTTGCCAGCTATATCCTCCCCTGTGCCATGGTCTAGTTTGTGTGTGCAAGTTGCGCTAGGACTTGCAGTCTCCGCCAACAGTACCTGAAAAAGATTTGGAGTGTGTCCCATGTTGCACGCGCTGCGCGTCCGCAGCTTCCAGTTCCAATGAAACAGGTTCCCGCAAAGGTTTGACGGAATATGCGAATACAGTGCATATATTGGGTCTATCCTAATACCTGTAAAGGCCTTGTTCAAAAAAGTAGTAATTGTTTACTGACTGTTAATTACAGGTAATAGGACAAATCCAATGCATATATATAGTACATTGTGTGAAGGGTTGTGGAACCACAGCATGTCTGTAAATTATGTAAGCCTTGGCAAATCTTTGGCACAGTGTCCATCGCCCGAACAGATTATCCACTCATGTCAACTTCCCCAGCCTGAACTTTGAAGCAGCGCTTCGACAATAGCGTAGTCCTCGAAGGCTTCGATTGGAAGTTTCTTGCAGTATAATACCCATATACCCAGAGGTGCATGATGTTGCATGAATGTGTAGGATGTATTAGGATGTAGGAATTATTGCTTTGCAGTTTGCCTAGCTTCTGATGATGGGTGTATGGGGCATTCCTGAAGATGAAGAAAAACACCTGCAAGCGAGGCAGCAACGATTCACCACACGCCTCCACTGATGGGAACGCTTCAACACATGATGATTTATCAACCAGTTCCACAGTTCCACAGTTCCACAGCATGGACTGAACCAGCATATTGCCCAAAGCACACAAAAAGGGCTGATAAGCGAATGATACGGACATGTTACTGTGATCTGATGTATTTACAAGGGCATTGTCAACGACAAGGCCTGGGACGAGAAGTTTCAAAAGGGCAGGATTTCAAAAAGGCTGGCTGGCTGACCAGTGCTAGTTACCGCTATATAGTTGCACAATACACGAAAGTGGTGAGATCATGTGAGATCAAAAGAACCCGAAACACCAAACATCATCGAACCATCAGAGCTGTTTCTGAGATGTTCTTCAACAGCCTGACTTGAACGAGCCCTTCGGGGTCGCTGTTCGACCGGACTCCAAAAGCGGAACGCCCGGATGGTCGCGCGTTCGACCTCTTGAAGTACATGAACGGAGAGCCACAGCGGACTGAAACAGCAGGAGGCTGAGCACTGATATTTATAGGTAAACTAAAACCGCCATACATACAATCAGTACTCAGCCCCGATGCTGTTGACAAGCAATGATAGCATAAGCACTGATCTGATAAACATATGTGTGTTATCTACGCCCCGGCCGAGGACCTTGAACGTGAGCGTGAACGGAGCGGGACCACAGACCCATCGTGTTCCCGATTCCAAAGCCATACCCGCCCAAGAAGAAAAGCAAACTCAAGCACCGGCTAAGACAGAGCTACAAAAGACACAAGGGAGCAAGGAAACAAGAAATCGGAAGCAAGAAGAAAAAGACAGCCAAAGGAGAATGGAAGGACCCTGCCATATCCACTCACGAAGTGTAGCCAAAAAATAGTAAAAGCAAAGATTACTCTAAATCAAAGAAGGAAAGGCAAGGCAAGGACACAAAAACAAGGATAATATAAAACAATATAAAAGACAACACACACAATACACAAAAGACAAAATGAGATGCAACAAAGGAAACAATGATAAATGCAGCTCAAAGCAAAACAAACAGTAAAATAGAAAAAAAAAATAGAAAAGCTCAGAAGATTGTGGAAAGCAAAGGAAAACACAGAAAGGCCTTAAATTGAAGTTTAATGAATTGTAAAGTAAGCAACACCAAATTTAAGGAGAACAAACACAAGAAAGAATGAGGGGACACTCAAACACTGATTAGAATAGTCCTATAAGATAAGAACCAAAAGGTGTTTGCTGCGTGTGGCATCAATCGCTTGCTTCAAAGCCTTGCTAAGTTCGAGACAAACGGTCACGGCCACCGCCTGTTGTTCCACAAGGTTTTGCCGCATAGCCCGCTGACCAGGTTGAGGGGAGGTGTCTTTTTTTGCTTTCTCTGACTGGGTACAGCAAAAGGGTCCAGCCCTGTTCCGCTTTGGACTTCTTCACCTAATTACTAATTGATGTGATTATAATATGTGTGATTCATACCTTTACACCTGCCTTGAGTATTGCTAAACATGCTGAACTGGCGCATTCAGGATTTGCCGCCAACCTATGCTTCTTCAACGAACCGCCGATCGTTTTGGCCCTTTTAAAGGCCACCCGTTCGACGCGCGGCCCGCTCCTCATCTTCCATCAAGTCACCCATCTTCTCCTTGGTGATGCTACTCGGACCTTGGAACATCTCAGGCCAACGGGTGACGGACGCGCGTTCGCCAGCCAGCGTTTCTCTGAAGCTCTGGACGGTCAGGACACCAAAGGAATCTGGTTTTTCCGAAGGCAGGTGAAGATCGACGAGATCCTGGCAATCCTGCTGTAGCTTCCGACTCACTGTATAAAAGGAAAAGGAATACATTCCGTGCACTGGAAGATTGTCATGTATCTGTTCCGCACGGATCCAAATGCCTTCGAATGTATTATACCAAAAAACCGTCCCCGTCATCCCAACAAAAACCCTCTATCCACCTGACCAGACCGGCGTGGTCTGGTGTGTCCGACCGGTGCATCTGCCGAAACGTTCCCGAGTTTTGATGAATTCCAACTAACACAGGTGAGGTGCCTGGAAGCTGATAACAAATATGGCCACAAAACGCCCAATATACTGAAGATCCCTGAAGATCGCTGGTCCGGAAAAAGACCGGTCGAAAGCAAAGAACTGAGGGTGAATCGGTGAAGCGTTCTTTCGGTGGAAGACGTAGCATCGCTATGCATCGCTTGTGATGTTTCCCGTGTTCCTCCTGACCTGAACCGGCACAGCAGGCGGAACTCGTTCGCGCCACAAACATGCACGGAACAAGGACATACACGTCGAGGAGCAAAGAACTTTCCGGGCGCAGAAGTGCTGCTTGATCTCACCGATCTCCTGGGAGGCAGCATGGTTTTCTGTTGCTGTTCCTTAGTCCATTATCATTATCTAAATATTGATGCCACAGGGTGGTGAGGTGCTGCAGGATTTCGTCCATCAACAATATGATTCGGATGGTAATGAACTTTGTGCCCGACTCACCAATCCAAAGACCCAGCGATGTGTCGGAAGCGAAGCTCTCCACACTCTACAGTGGGTTCCTTTTCTCTGGGGGGTTGCCAGGGTGATCTTTTGGGTGACCCTGTTCAGGACTCTGCAGAGGTCGTGCAGATGACCTTCCTATATCCCCTTAAGGAGATAGAACGGGGCGATCCAATGTGAAAAGGATCCTTGCATCCTCCTTCGCTCCTTTGTCCATGTCAGAGATGACTGGGATTTTCATGGTTTTTTCCATGTGCTGGGTGCATGGAGGCTAACGAGGTGTTTCTTTCTTCTTGGTGTGCTCATGATGCTCATACGTGGTTGGACACACGGTTCATCACCCGTGACAACATGCTTCGGGGCGTCATGAAGCATCCCAGGTTCTTCCCCAGGTTCGGCCATCGCATCCAGTTCACCGCGGTTCACCGTGAGGACGGTGGAGGGAGAGTGCTTGTCATTCAATGAACAACTTGAAACAAATAAACATTGGAACCCCATCAGCATACTGATACTGCAACCTTTGTCTGATCTTCCCACTCGCACTGCACAATGAAGAACCCGAAACAAATTGAGTTCCTTCTTCCTGTCCAACCCTGGTATGTCCACCCTTCAAGACTCCTGGGATCTCTAGTATACACCCTAGGGCTCCAACCACCTCCTCAGAATATAATTGGACCCCCCAGACCAACCCCAACCACCTTGTCAGGAGGTGGTTGGAGCCCTAGGGACATGCAATTACACCAGTTGTTATCTTCTTCGACTCAGTCGCCTTCATCGAGACTCCCTGGAGTTCTGGCCGACGCATCCGCACTCAAAACCAAGATTCCCGGGGCATCTGCCAGGGCCGTTCCTTGCGAATCCCCACCTGCGGATCTTCTTTCGTTTCACCGGTTTGTCACGTGGACCGACTCCCGGTGGTGACATCCTATTGACGTTCTTCCAAGGTGGAACTTCTAGTGAATCAGGTGATGAAGGGTAGCCGGTAGCTATATATAATTATAGATCAACGCACTCTATTTCATCCATTCTTAGGTCTTGCGCAGTGCTGTCGCGGGTGCCGACAATTGCTGGAGTCGTTACAAAATACAATTGTTTTCTCCCGTAGATAGTCAACATCGAAAATTCTAGGAACAATGTCATAAGAAGTTCCAGCCGTCATAAATGTCCAATAACAATTATACCCGCATAGACTGTAGACCCCAAGCAATTTAACATTGTTTTGCGGCAAGTCCTTGAATTCCAATGGTAAAGGAAGACTCTGTAATTATGTCTATAGTGTCCAGCTGTTTGGGAACAGCGTGACGCTATTTTTTTTGGAGCAGGACGATATCAAAATTGAAACTCTGCATCACTGCATCACTGTTGCATTCACAGCTGCAAGAAAGCAAACCCAAACAAGGCGGTGGAGAGTCCGGGACAACGGCGTGACCCGGCAGGGAAAAAGGCCGGACGGTGCGGACGGTCGATCTCCTAACAGAGAACCCCAACTGTAAACTGTTTGTGGACAGAACAAGACACATCAAACAACCATGCCTTGCCATTTCCGGGGGTGCCCACCACATCCACAACCACAACAGGATCAGAGGCAACCACCCTCTAGGAAGAAAACCTCCACCAATCGACTCTCCCAAATCCGAGGCAAATTGAGGATGACTGAAAACCGCGATCACTTGGACTCCAGAAGAAACCGAGGGACCCGCCGGTTTAGGCAGGCCCCTGTTACTGGTAGTTCCTGGAAGTACCTCTAAGCAACGAGTATGGCACGTCTCAATTCCACTGCGATGAAGGGCTCCTTGTGCCACCCTTTACCTGAAATCACGCTCTTGCTTCAGTCTCTGAAAGACAAGGATTTCTCGGCAAAGATCAGCAAACCAAGTCAAGTTCTGGCACAAGTTCTGAAGGGAATTTCTGAAGTGAAGCGCACACCTGCCGGTGGAGGGAGTCGGCGCGCGGAAGATGTGTTTGTTGGGTGCCTCGAAGAGGAAGGCGCCCAGTTCAAGCCGGCCGAAGCCCGGATGAGACCACTGGGACTTCTCCTCTCCTGCAGAGGAGGGACTGAGAAAAGACATTCGAAACGACGCATACAGAAGGAACCTATACATTGCACCAGTTGGAACCTTCAGAATACCTTCACTATGTGATTGTGCCAATCTTAGTACCACCTTAGGTCACGCAGCAAATCTAGGATAGGAATCCCGGTGCAGAAAAGAAACGGGGGGTGAGTTCGTTGCAGCTTGCTGCGTTCTGGCTGTTTCTGTGCACGTCCTCGCTGCCGACCCAGGGACTCCCTCAAAAGCCATCCACAACACCCCTTCGCCCTCGAGACGATGGCACAAAAACACGGTTGGCATGGCAAGATCGCATGGCACAAGAATGAACATGGGTTGTCTCCTTTTCGTCAAAGCACGGTAGTCGAACATACTGTCGGTACAAGAAATGCTGTTGGGTCGCACATCTACCCAAGGAATGCTCGACTCGACTCCACGATGCACGGGTCCTGCAGTGTTGCGGATCACCAGCTGGGTGATGCCAGGAAAGCTACCTCCTGGCGAAGAGAAAAAGGACTTCCGAGGCTGAGAGCTGTCACAGGGACCCTGTAGTGGTACAAATGGGATAGGCTATAGTAGCGTATCCATAGTAGGCTATAGAACTGGCTACAGGATGCTACAGGGTGCTTCCACCTCTCTGGGTTCATCCAAAAGCATGCGTCGTGGTTTGGCATTGCAGGATGTGTCCAGAAATCCCGCATGGAAATCCCATGTGTCAAAAGTCAAAACAAACTCGGTCGTTTCCGTAATTCCCAGGTGCTGCAGGATTTCGCGGAACAGCAGGACAGCTTCTCTTGCTTCGCTTCTGCAAGAGATAGCTTGCTGTGGCAAAAAGAGGAAGTCAACAAGAGAACCACTTGGGAAGTTAAAGAAGGATTTGTGTCCAGGGGATTGCAGTGCTGGATCAATGCAGTGTTTACCTCTAAACAAGGAAATTGTTGATGAAAAGCGATCCCTAAGTCGCACTGCCAACCATCAGCAGTGTACTGAATATAGGTTTTAACTGGCTCTACAATTTAACCTCGTAAGCAGTGGTTCTAGCTTGAGTACCCCATTAAACAGTAACAGTCCGCAAAAAATGCCGACATAATTCATTGGTTGCTAACCATCATCATTACTGTACCAAGTTCGCCCAAGCTCTAGTTGGTTCTCTTCAATGAGGCATCCGTGGGGGTTCTCCACATTGCATTGAATAGACACTATTACTATTGGCCCATAGTTCACACTGGGATGTTGCCACACCAACTGTCCAATTTCCGAAGGGAAATGCGGTCAAGAAGTCACTGGGGTCAGTATACCCCCGACTTCAGGTTCTACTGTGAAATCCGAACCAGAGTGTACACCCTTTCAAGGGGCAACCAGAACTTGAGGTGAACCGAATAACTCTTCCTCTTGGTATCGCGTCCCCGAATGGCTCCTAAGTTCCTCAGAATGGCGCAACAATATGCCTGGCTGGGCTCGTACCAGTCCTGGCTGTCGGCCTCGGTTCGCGGACGACTTCAGGGAGCTAGATGAGCTAGGGTTTTGGACGGAAATGGAGGTCCCAACCTTGGTGGGCCCTTTTTGTGCCATTTTCTCCCTGTATGATCAGTTCCTTTTACCGGGTTTCCACTTCGTCAGGAATCGGCGGGGGAGCAATCTCTTGTGGATCCATTCAGGGCACCCCAGGCTTTCGGTTCCCTGCAGATGGCGAGGTCGTCCACAGCCGTCGCCAACACCGTGAAATGAGCCTACGGACCAACAGACCCAGAGCGAGTAGCATAGTCTTTTGATGTTACTCTTCTTTGATCTACCAACTCAGCCTACTCAGTTCTCACCCTCCAAACACGCACCAAACACCGTCTAACATCTTCGAAAAAGCACAGATCCCCCCATCTCCCAATCACGTCCCGTCGCCGTGCCCGCCCGTGCCCTGCGCCGAGCCGCCCGGATGTAGGCCATCACCGGCATCCGATGCCAGGCGGCACCACCTCAAACACGGCCGGTGGCCGTCCGAGGGTCCGGTGTTGCCTCTTCGAAAACGTCCGAGGTCCGGGGACCCAAATATCTACCAAACATTGAAATGACTAGTAACTAGTACTGTATATAGGTGTACAATATAAAGGTTCATGGTGGTTCATGGTGGTTCCACTTACTGGATAGGAGTAGGACACTCAAACCGCGCGTCTTGGATGATGATGGTGACTCAAGGCCTTTAGCATCCAAAGAGCCAAAAAAGAAGTGATCCCAAGTTCCACTGACCGTTCAACGAGCCGGGAATCGGGAACGACTAACCCAACGACTCGGTGTAACAATCAAAGACTCGGTGACTCGGTCTCACCCCCCTCCCCACCAAGACGAAGACTCGGTGACTTGGGCACCCCCCTTTGAACCTTCCCCACATAGCTGGACCGTGGACCGTGCTGGGGACAACCACTGTGCTGGGAACTTCTTGGAACCTTTGAGACCATGAACACGTTTGCGGCACATCCAGAATGTCCAGAGGTGCAATGACTCAGCAAATGATTGCCATACAGAATCTGCGCATCAAGTGGAGCAACATCTGTTAGGTACTCGGTACTTGTATCGTGAGAAGGCAAAGTAGTAATCACGTTCTGGAGCATGGACTGGAGAATCCCATCGATAGCAGCGGACAAAAGCCACCATGCGATGTCTACAAAATATGAGGGAATGCTCAGGTTGTGCTGTTCACCAACCAAGGTCTAATGCACTGGAGTGAATTTGGTCCCGTTTCTGGATACGCATGTTTGTCCACAGCCAGTGAGCTTGTAGTTTACAAAGAGTTGCATTCCTTGGACACGCCCAAAATCGTCTATCAACCACGGGTATGACACTCTAGGTTTGGGCATCTGTGAATGGAACTTTCATCTGAACACCCATCAGAAAAGTACTACAGCTACCCCTCTGCAAGAGTATCAAGGAAGACTCATGCGGCCATATCTGTGAAGAGGGCATTCCATTTGTGACTCATGCGTAACATTGGGCTGAGGCAGAAAGACTTCCAACAAGTCTGACGAGGGTGTCGCTGTCTATCGAGTGTTTATCTCGAGTACTATATTGTCAAGTCCGAATAGTCACACCCCCTCCGTGCTCTATTGGTCCCAGGGGGAGTCTATGGGTATACTTTAGTCATCTCTAGTGACTAAGTACTACTAGCCAGCACCACGGATTCCGGGTGTCCATAAATAGTCCCTTACAGGTCAAGGGTTGTCCATTAACCACCACAACTGGGGGGGGGTTTTAGGAGGTCGTCCATGTTCTCCTCGGCTTCTTCCCTGTCCTTTTGACCTTTTTAGAGTGATCCACCCCAAAACACGGCCGGGAACCATCTAACCGGCACCGATCCGTGGCATCGGCACCGATCCGGTCGACGACGGCCGGTCGCCGGTGGAACGCCCAGGTGCGAAAGACCTCCGCGTCGAAGTGCCGCTGCTGGTAGACGTGCGGGACAGCTGGCATCCATGGGAGAGAGCTGGAAGGGAGAGGAGTCCAGGCCGCACGGAGAGAGCTTAAGGTCCATGTGCAGGTGTGTGTTGTTGTGTTTTTGTCCGACTTACTTGGGGAATAGCACGGAACATGTGCGACGTCATGTGGTCCGTTTTAAGATGAAACAATAAGCGAAGAGTGACTTGAAATGGCCCTCGAGTATTTACAGTGTGAAACTCTGTATGGCAATGGGTGGTGTCGGGTTTCGTCCGGCAACACCGTGGCAACACAGCTGGTGTATTGGGGTGTGGGGGCGGCGGCCAGTAGCACAACATCTGGGTACTGGGGCAAAGTTTCTAGTCAACTCAATGCTTTCAAGGTTTACAAACTGCGACCACATGACCAATAATTGTATTTTGTTAATGTTAGTACAACATATGTTACTGTTCTGTTAAGGTGGCCTTGCCTGGTCACAACACAACCAATATTATTTATATACTGTGTCATTGAATGTATTTCACAACATTTCACCCGGTTCAAGCTGACGGGGGCACATCCAACACCCCAGTCTCACCAATCTACAGCTGGTTCGGTTGTAAAGGGACCTCAAATGAACCCAGCGCCAGTTGTACTCCCTCAGCTCTGACGGCTTTCTGAAGCTCTCCTGTTCTGATTAGGAACCCACTCCCGCTCAGGTCGATTCGCTGCAGTGGAGTCGAATTGAGATCTCATCTCCCCTGATGCCGCGACTCTAGATTCTGCAGTGGGTGGCCAATACCTTGAAGTCCACCCGCCCTTCTTAGGCGCCACCAGTGTTGATGTAAGGTCAATCACAAATCACGGTAAGTGGTCCTCTTCTAACTCTCTCAGGCAAGCAAACACCCTTCGTGTTTTATGCGTGGCAAACCCCAGATTTTGCAAAAGGACAACCAACAATATCTGAATCCTCAGAAGGTTGCTGGATGCCCCAAACCCACCCCAACCACTTTAGCAAACAAGCAAACTGCTCTTATGCAAACCCCAGACGCTCCCAGACGCTCCCTGTATGACCTATTTACCTACATGGGTCCTTTCAGGAGTCGACGACAGTATACATGCCACACATGGAGTTTCGGGGTAAGGAGTTATATACAAATGATTTAATGACTGATTTAATGCTATTTAATGTATTTAAAGAGTAGCTTCTTGTTACTAGCTGTTACTCGTAGCGATGCCCTTCATGTTATGTTATACGTCCATAAGCTCAACGAGGGCAGATCACCTTCGTATGAGTCCAGCAATTCGATCTGCTCCGCGGTCAAGAACGCCACGGTGCCCAGCGCCGTGGAGTTCTCCTTCGGGATCAGCCTGCTGCTGTTCGATGCACCGAAGCCGAGTGATGCCGAGTGGCACCGGCCGAGTGAGTGGCCTTTGGTTTCTGTTTGGATGACAAGTGCAGTGGATCTGGTGGGTGCAGTGTGAAGTCGAAATTTCCCGAACGAAGTCTCACCAAACACAGTTTGGAAACACCGAATACAAAGCAACATGGACTGCCGAACGCAAAACGCCGCGTTCTCAACGTGAGTCCTGAGTGCACAGGGGTTCTCATCTTGGGGATCCTTTATTGAACATGAAGAGGCGTTTGGGACGAGTCGCGTAGCAGTGCCCACCGATTTCTTCTCATCATAGGCCCAGCTGCGGTTAGGACCACCTTGGCACGTGAGGGCCGGGGAGAAAAGATTACAGTATATACCGGTATGGTATGTTTTGGAGTTGGTACTGTTCATAGTTAGTTGTTCCTATGATCTTTCAGAATGGCTGTGCGACGGATCACATCGTGAGAATAAGGTGATTCATGGCTATTCGATGGCATACTCTTTCAAGGGCGGGGTGGCTTAAGGGGACACCCTCTCACAGCCCACCTGGAATATACTTTAAAAGACACCACGCATCGCTATAACATCCTGTTCTAATTGCATTGACGATGTATATACCAGGGGCGGCCCACGAAGGCCCGGCCCCCATGTGTGCGGAGTAAACGTCTGAAAGGGAACCTGAAATCTGACCACGAAAAAAATGGTGATTGGATGGTAAACACATGGTCAGAGGGGGTGTTTAAGAGGGGGTGTTTAACAAACATCCCCTAAATCAAGCAAACAAAACATGTCGAAGAAAATACACGGCTTTCTCACTTCAAAAGTGATCCGAGCTCCCTAAAAAAGCACTCCACTCGTCGCATCCCTTGCTCCTTTGCTTCCCAACAAGGCACCCCGTGGGTCCGGTTCGGTCCTGCCCCCCCCAACCCCCGCGACCGGCTTCGTCCCCAGCGGCAAAAGGCCAAGACTTGGCCTCGGATGCGGCCAGGGAAGCCCACCAGGCTCGGATCGCTCAGGCGGCCTTGTCCGGTGCGGCCGGCAGGACGGACGGACGTGGGTGGCACCAGGGGTACCACTGGCCGAACGAACGAAACATGCGAACTGATTTGGATCCTTTTTGCATCTCTTTGGTGGGTTTCAGAAAGAACAAGATGAAGGAGTCCTGAGGATTCATGGAGCCGGACCCTGCAAGCTACCCTCACGAAGACTACCACCCAGTCAATTCCTTCAACCGCTTCCCTGAATGCTTCGGATTCATACTTTGGAGGTCCCCACGAGTCAATCCATGGGTCCAAAACACCAGAACACCTGGAGAACCCAACCGTTCCTTCTTCCCCCCTCCACCCCTGCAGTGCGTCACATCCGCCATCATCCGGCTGACACACCGCATACCGCATCCGTGTCCCCCTTGGTCGGTCCATCCCCTTCCCCCGTTCGATCGACCTCGTAGCTGCCGAACGCTATTGGACCCAAAGCCGAAGACAGGGGAGCGACCCTCGAACCACGCCATGGCGAGGAAATCCAGCCGCCGTGGCGAATTCGGTGTTGAAGTCCAAATCGCGGGGATTCTTCGGTCGCCGCGCCGCGCGGGCGCCGAGCCGACGTCGGCTCAATATGGCTCAATGGTTGTGGCTCACTGGAAAGGGTGTGGGGGGGTTGAAGAAGAATGATGCTCCGCCAGGTTTGAATGGTTGAGGCGTTGGGCATCTGCAACATCTGCAACTCGGCGCCTCATGGCCTCGAGTGTTTTTCCACCAAACTAAGCAGGAGGCGCCCCACTCGGACGGTCGGGTTGTGGTTGACTTGATTCATGAGTCTTGAGTTTAACGTCAAGGCAAGGCGAACTCCACCAGCAGGGGGCAAATCTTTGGTTCCTCAGTTGTCCTTTGATGTGACCTTGGTTGAGAAAACATGAAAGTTGAAACATGTAACTAAAAGAATCTGTCCCTGACAAAATGGATCTGCTGCAGTACACCAAACCACGGTCGTTGAAGTGTCATTTGAAGTGTGAGACTATGCTGAACAATATTACCCAGTACAAAGGCGGAAATGGCAACGGAGAAAGCGTTCGATTCGTCTCTGCATGTCTCTGCCTTGTCTGTTTCTTGGAACATATTTGCTGCTCTCTCTGCTGCAGCTACCACTTGTTTACAAGTATATTGTATCCCACATTGAGCTGGGACCCCTGTGAAATGGTAAGATATCGTCTATGAAACATGGATACAATGCGGCACGAGGGGGGTAATGTAACGTCATGTAACCAGTATACAACTGACAAATTGAGCAAGGTAAGCAAGTACGTCATCAAATGGTTACGAAGATCCACTACCCTTTGGACTTTGGATGGAAAAAACATGCCCTTTCGTAGTTGGAACAGGTCCTTTATCCATCGCAGTTGACTGCGTGAAGAGAGAACACAATTTACGCAGTTCAAGTCCGACCATCCGCAGGCGGTCTGGATGGAATTGACGAATTGACTCGATCCCTTCAACCCTTTTCGGTAGATGAATGTAGATGAGAGATCGATAGCTACAGTATGACTATCACAAAAAGAGGAGGACCCAATTGAAGAGCTTCGGTGTGCCTCGAAACAACCACAAACACCAAGACGTTTGTGTGGTGGTTGGCCGTCCATGGCATCCGCGCAGAACATGACAGGCATAGCCACTATTCTTTATAATTACCAAAAAAATCTATGTCCACTTCCACTCGCGTAGAGTCGTACAGTGTCCATAAATTCACAAAAAAAAACACAGCTGCGGCGATTAAACCATGCCCGGGGGACGCTGCGCTAAGCCCCACAAAAGTGCGCACCACGACCTCCACAGCAGATCAGGACAGTGGAATTGCTGACTGAAAATTCGTGCCTGGTGGTCAACATTCATTAAATGGGAACACTCAAATCCATTCACTACTCCTGGCTGTCAAAAGAAATAGTTGCCAAATTTGCCAAACACTTGTATAATAAAGAGTTGCCTGCAGTCCCTGCGGATGGCTTCCCAACCCTACCCACTTGCCCGACCAGACTCTGGCTCCGTTCCTGTTCATTGCTGTCCGTACTTCGGTCCACACAATTGGGCCTCCTCCGGATGGCTATACATCTTGGAGCAGCAGTGCAGTCCCGACGGGCTAAAGTAGTACTCCTGCACCAGCGTCGATAGAAAAAAGGGAAACGCCATGGTACCAGCCCGGTGGAGATCTGTGGAGACCTGTTTCATCTTTGAGGATTTGGTGAAACATCACTTGAAGGAAAGACATAATATGAAGCCCCAAGCGCAAATGGATGAATGATTCAAATCCTTATAGAGCTATCTGGACCCCTCCCATCCCACCGCTCAGTGGCAGTGAGCCTGCCAGAGTATTTGAGCAAATGGAACAATGATTGCAAACCCTGGCAACACAAACTAAAGGAAGTCGCATTCAACATTGAACTTCGGGGTTGCATGGGGGTTGCAACACTTTATTTGGCAGGGTTCCAGGCGTTTGATGACCCAGTGTCGGGATCTTGGCATGGATAGCCCGGTGAGTGGTGCCTGGGAATCGAACTATCCGGGTGTGGCTCCAGTTCAGATGGCTCCAGGGGCTCAGGGTGGACGTTAACCATCAATGACGCATGGCTCTGTGGTCCATCAATGTTGTTTTTGTTAGGCACAAACAATTTGTTCACTTGAAGTTCTCAAAGCATGGTCATCAGTGGCTCTTCATCTGTGCGGATTCATACCAGCCAAAAACACTTTCAGAACCCTGCTCCTGTAGTATCCTCGAAAACAATAAGTGCAAAGTGAGGTAGCCTCATCATACAACCTATATATATATATGTACATTATATGGATATATATATATATATATTCTTATTCCTGTATCAAGGGAGGAAGTGGTGATGTAGAACCCCTTCACCTTGCTAGCAACTCCGAGCTTGACCCACAGTTTGCCTAGTAAAAGAGCTCGGTTTGCCTAGTCATGACAGGTCCGGTCACCTCTGTAGTAATTAGATGGATAACTTTAAATTTAAAGGGAAACCACGGTTAGAGCAATAAGACCCGTCCATCCATTTCAACAACAGTTCGTCATTCGATGTACACTCCCTGGAACTAACATGTACGTGGGCAATGGCCCCTTGGAAGACAAGTTTCATCTACAAACAAAGGGTTTCCAATTCCATGTTAGTTCTAGGCAGTGTAATTTGTCACACTTGCTTTCGTGCCGCCCAAACAGGTACTACCCGTTACTAGCCATGTGTCTCCCAGAACGGCGATGCCCAGAAAGCGGAGGGGAATCCTCCTTGTTGGTATAATGATATAATGGATACCTTCCCCAAACCACTAGCTGTGGGCCAGCTATTATCATGTGCAACTTGATTTAGAATCGAAGTTCCCTCCAAATCCAAATCCAGCCAACTCCGACTAACTGGAAGTGGACAACAACCTGTTTGTAAAGGACCATATAGAAGCATCGCTGGAAGATGCTAGATGCATCCTTTTCCAAGGCCCTGTTCAGACGTTGTCCCATGGGAGGAATCGAGGCCACGGAGCCCCACGAAGCAAATTCATTGGCGGCTGCCAAAAGTGGCTTTGAACTTGGGCGCCCAAAGCAGCCACCAGCGCCATGTTTGTTCCGCCCAAAGGTTCCCCCTCCTCCCCGGCGATGAGCACCGAGGTGTGGTAACCACCCAAGCCCCTTGGACACGGTGGAGCCCGGGCCGTCACAGCTTTTCTCCGTCAATTGGTCATTGAAAAAACAGAGGATCCTTATTCGGAGGTCGATCATCCTCGCAATCCAACACCAAACCATCAGCAGGTCAGCAGGACCCTGAAAACAAATGAAAACAGGCTGTTCGGGGGAGACCCAAACAGGGCCCGTGTGACGGTGATGTCTGGCCGAACGGCCGAGCTTGTCACCAGGAAAACAACGACCCGACGACGGCCACCGATCTTTTCTGGGTCGTCCCATCTGCTGATTCTGCTTGTGCCGCCTTTGTGGGGCGGGAGCCTGCATGTAACAAGGCGGAGGGATTCATGGGATGATAGCTTAGGTATGTCTTAGAGGATACCATAATGCCTGAAACGTCAACCCAACCTTTGCTGAGAACTGCGGACACCCTGCACCCCAACGCACTCTTCCCGGTCCACCGACCGGTCGTCCGACCAGTCCACCGACGTCGGCACTGAGTGCCCCACCGGAGGCCGCCTAAGGGAGAGACGGCCAAGTGCACCTCGTGACCTGCACCCGCGGGGCCGGGTCACGAGGGCACCGCGGAAGACGCGGAGCACGGGGTCTCCCGCGGAGCGCGCGAGAACGCGGAGTCCGGAGCCTCCGGAAGTGTCCGAGAAGACCGGATTTCTGAGAGAGATCATCCATCTTGAACCCCTCTGATTTGACCGGAAAATGAGGTGCTGGAACAGCAACAGCTGCATATATGTTGATGAAATTGACTATCTGATGTTCTTGGTTTCAGCCTGGAGAAGGCTGCAATGAACATGTTGTAGGCTTTGATTGATGCTCTGGTTAGTGGTTTTTCACGGGTATCGCAAGAGGAATCGATTGGAATAAGTCCTTCTCCGATAGAATTGTCCAAGAGCCCCCCCATGATCAATACCGAATTGAGGGGCGTTCCCGTTCGGACAGGAACGAAGGACTGGTCATGACCATCGACTGCTTTCTGCTTTACGACCGACCGACGGCGTCCGTCTCCTCATCCGGAACCATCGACTGCGACCAGAACATGATAGAAGGACTCCCCCAATTCGAACTCTCTGTGTCCTGGAAATCCATCCTTTGGACTTTGGACCCAAAAAGAAATAACACCTCAAGCGGCCATTGTGAAGCGTGAAGCCGACCTCCGGCCTCCTGCTTCACCGACCTCCGACGGCCCGCTTCGCGGCCCGCCGAAGCGGGCGAGGTAGAAGAACCCACCCCCGGCTGAGCTGCCGGGCCCGGGCTGCGCAGGGTCCGCAACGTCTGTGACCGATGCTGGGTCTTTCCTGCACGCTCCGACAAAGCGATGGCGTTCCGCACCTGAAGTGGGCACTACTGGGGACACTGGTCAGTGTTTGGGAGCGATGTTCGGTCCTATCCAAAGAAGTGGGCAAATAGGAGTTAGAGAATGGGCTCCAGGCGAATTCCCGAAGCTTCATTGAAGAAATTGTGACCAACACCCCATCCAGGGCCACGAATAGGTATAGTATGATATAGTAGGACTTTCAAGACTTTCAATATCAAACGAATCAGAACATGTCCGGACTTTGCTGATCCCTGAGTTCTCCACAATCGAGCCAGCCAGACGTTATTTTTCTGTGCGGGTACCCGGTGATTGGATGAATGATTCTGAAAGGACACGCAGGGTTGAACATGTCTTTCATTGGTGCCCTCCCAAAAGCCCACGTAGATGTTCATCCCGCGAAGTATGCCCCAATAGGTGTTAACCAATCTCAAATATTGGTTAAAGTTAAAGCTATAGGGTGGCTGACATCCTCAAAACTACCGATCTGAATGGAACAAGATGGGTCAAGAAGGAATCATGAGGCAACACTCTTGGACCCTGAGAAGAATCCTATGTCCCTGATACTCCATATGACACATGTGGATGATGTTTCACATACAGTAGTTGTATTATACTACAGATATGTATAGATATGTTCCTGATGAGAT